CAGCACAGTCCTCACGGCTGCTATCACCACACTGGCCTCGGCACTGGGCTTTCAGAGACACCAGAGGGGAAACCTGTGTGAAAACCAGATCCCTGTGTCCCAAAGACCCCACACTTTCCATTTAAATATAAAAATTCCAAATCTTGGGCACCCCTCAGCTGAGTTCTTGTCTGACTCACTTCCTGAAGAGGCGATGCAAGTGGACATCCCCAGGGACACACAGCAGGACTGTCTACCACCTCGTTCTCTTCGCCCCATAGCAGAAAGGGCACACAGGTGGACTCTTCAGCAAGCCCACAGATTTGCAAACCTGTCCTAGCCACTCTGCATACAAAATGTCCAATCAGAGGGAACCTGCCAAAAAGAGCTGCAGGGTCTAAGGCTGGCATGTTGTGGCTACCAGGGCTACAAGGAGCCGGACTGGCTAGATTTATGTCAATTTGACACGAACCAAAGTCATCTGAAAGGAGGGAACCTTAATTAAGAAAGTACCTCCATAGATCAGGCTGTAGGCAAGCCTATAGGGCATTTTCTTAATTAGTGATTGATGACGGAAGGCCCAGCCCATTGTGGGTGGTGCCATACCCAGGATGTTGTTCTATAAGAAAAATCACCATCTTTCTTGGATCTTTCTTATAGGTCCTGGGACCTACAAGAAAGCAGGCTGAGCAAGTCAGTAACAGCACTCCTTCAAGGCCTTTGCACCAGCTCCTGCCTCCAAGTTCTGGTCCTGTTTGAATTCCTGACCTGACTTTCTTCAATGGCAGGCTACGATGTGGAAGTAGAAGCCAAATAGACCCTTCCCCATCTTGCTTTTGGTCATGGTGTTTCAACATAGCAAAAATAACCCTAATTCAGGCCACAGGGACAAGAAGGCATAACCAGGGGTGGGAATCAAGGGGTCCTGGTATCAGCTCTCCCTGTGACCCTGACTGAATCACTTACACTGCTGGGCCTCAGTATCCTCAGACAATTGTGGCCATGTGACAGGACCAGTGTTCCCCAAGCTGCAAAAAAATGTGTTAAGTACTTAATTGTAACTAGTGTTTTCATTAACATTAACTTGTAAACAAAGAACCATTTATCATCCCTGAACCAGGGAAGCAAGTATCACTTATTTTTAAAGTTACCTTTGAAAGCAAAGTACAAAAGAGTATGATTTTTGCCAGGTGGTGGTGAGACACACCTTTAATCATTTGGGAGGCAGAGGCAATTGGATATCTGTGAATCTTTGTGAGTTCCAGGCCAGCCTGGTCTACAAAACAAGTCCAGCCAGGGCTATAGAGAGAAACTCTGTCTCAAAAAAACAAAAACAAAACAAACAGTTCCCCAGTTCCGAGGGATCTACCACCCTTGTCTGGCCTCCACAGGCACCAGGCAGGCATGTGGCTCACAGACAGAATCTAGACAAAACTAAATACAATTAATTTAATTTAAAAATTAAATTAATCCCAGCACCTAGGAAGCAAAGGCAGGCAGGTCTTTGTGAATGTCAAGGCCAGCCTGGTCCACATTGAGAATTCAGGCCAATGAAAAGGGCACAGCTGTAGATGGGTGAACATCTACAGCTCACAGATATGCAGGAGAAGAACCTGGAATGTTAAGCACACGGGGATGTTCCTTCAAGGGACAGGATCCCAGAACTTGAAAGGCTGAAGGAGGAGGATCCTGAGCTTTTGACAGCATGAGCTAGCTACACAGCAGATTCCAAGCTAACTTGATGATAGTGGTCTCAAAAACAAAACAAAAATAAAAACAACAAAAAACCATTGTGTTAAATGAAAGAAGCCAGCCACACATACAATAGCTCTAGATTGTGTAATTCCATTTATGTGAAATACCCAGAAGAAAAACTGCAAAGACATAAATTGAACCAACACTGCTTATGCTGCTAAAAACTGACCACAAGCAGACACAAAATAACTCTGGGGAGAAAAAGGTCACAAATGTGGTGGTTGAACAATTCTACCCATTTACTAAAAATCCGTGTTTATAACGGATCAGGTACACAGTGCACAAATTACACCTAAACATCGCTGTTAAGAGCAAAATAAATAGGATGAATGCAAAGCATGTATTATTGAATTAAAGTTCAGCATTTGACAGCACATGATAAAATTCCCTAAGGAAGAAAACTGGACAGCATGAGATGTTAAACATTGTTTGGGGAGCTGGAGAGATATCTTAGCCGCTAAGGGCACTTGTTGCTCTTCCAGAGGACCTGGGTTCAATTTCCAGCACCACAAGGTAGTTCCCTCCAGTTCCAAGAGATCCAACACTCTCTTCTAGCCTCTGTGGTTACCAAGCATTCACAGAGTGTACACACATACACACATATAAAACATTAACATATACATTAAAAAAATGAATACATCTAATAATTTTTTTTCATTGCTTGGGCTTTAACAATGGCTCAGCAGTTAAGAGTACTTGTTGCTCTTGTAACCGACTCAAGGGTGGTTCCCAGTACTGACATGGCAAATAACAACTGTCTGTCCAGAGGATCCAATACCATCCTCTGGCCTCAAGCATTGCATGCACATGACACAAAGACACAACATAAAATAAGAATAATTTTTTTTTTGAGACAGTGTTTCAGTATGCAGCCCTGTAGACCAGGCTGGCCTAGAACTCAGAGATCCTCCTGTCTAAAGAGCTAAAACTAAAGGTGTGCACCACCTAAATAAACAAACAAACATAGCTTTAAAGGACACAACAACAACACTAACACCCTTTTCCTTGAACTCATGAAGAAAACCTGCAGAAGACTGAAAATACAATTTCATAAAGTTGAACACTTCATGGGAGTACCCTTCAAATGTTCCTCAACATTTCTGTCATGCCTAGTTCACACACCAAGATCTTGAGGACCCCATGTGAAGTGAAGGAGTAGGAGAGCAGAACAATGAAAGCCACATTGTCTATGATGGCTATCCAGGAGGGTATGGAACAGAGTAGCTCCCTGTGCGCCATCCCCAGCAACAAACAAACAGAAGCCTTTGGACTGGGCAGGCTAGGACGCTCTGGGCCGGATCTGAAGTCCCACCCAGGTTGGAGGAGCAATCGGAAATGCCTACTACTGTGGGTCTGTGAGTGTGCACATGCCATGCACTGTTGTTCTACCCAACTGCCTGAGTGACGGGACATTAACAACAGTCAGGTGGCAGCTGAGGGGACATGTCACAGTAGGCCGGCTTCCTGGTATCTGTCACGCCACTGCCAAATACTGGTAGTCTGGGCCAGTCACCTCGTTGTTACCTTTGAAGCTGTAACAGTAGCTAACATCTGCAGAAGAATTCTTAGGTGCTCAACATAGTTCTCAGCACTATGTATTAGTGACCCGTTTTATAGACCAGGAAACTGAGATGCAAATAAGCAAAGGTGACCAAGGTGACTCAGAAAACACACAAGGAGGATCTCGGGCAGGGGCAACAACAACCCTTCTCTTGGACATGCAGATATCAGTCCTTGAAGTCTCCACGGGAGCCTCAGGAGCTGCAGCTGAGATGCACCTGAGATGTACACAGGCACGGAGGACTCTACCCTGGCAAGCCATTTTATCCCATTTCACTACAAAGGTCACTCAATAGTGCTAGTTTCCTGTTCTTTCACCCTGGCAGTTCCCAGAGCCTCATGTGAACATAATACTTTCTCAAACTTGAGTGGACATCAGACAAACACAGAGAAAATGAGCTTAAAATGAAGGTCCCTAGGCAAAAAAAAAAAAAAAAAAAAAAAAAAAAGTATTGAAGCACAGCCTAAAATGCATGTTTAACAAGCTGTCCAACTAACGGGAGCAGATTCCTCTGGATCACACAGGAAATCTGGCATGGTCGGACTAAAAACACCTGAAGACCAAACTTCACACTGTACACTCAGAAGACCAGATCTAAAGGCCCATTTGGATGACCAACGTTCTGCCCCACCAGGAAACTGTAGAAATAAATGTAGCTAACGTTCTGTCCAGTTGCATTCATGCATCATCAAGGCAACAGTGGGACACACCTGTAATCTCCACATGAGAAGCCCAAGGCTGGAGAACTGACTGGAGTCACAGTGAGTACCAAGCCATCCAGAGCTACGTAACAGGGCTTTCGTCTCAAAAAAAAAAAAAAAAAAAAAGTGGGTCTAGGAATGTGACTAAGTTAATAGAATGCTTGACTGGCATGCACAGTGGCCTGAGTTCGAGTCTCCAGCACCTCATAAAACTGGACGAAGTGGTACACACCTGAAATCCCAGCACTGGGAAGGTAGACTCGGAAGGACCAGGTGTTCAATGTCACCCTCAGCTACCTATTTGAGCCAGCCTGGGCTACATGAGATCCTGTCCTTTATTAAAAAAAAAAAAAAAAAAAAAAAAAAAAAAAAAAAAAAAAACAAGAGGAAGCAGATAGAAGAGCAAGGCTTCTCTGTGAGTCCACATCTGATGCTGGTCCCCAATTCTGCCTCCATCCAGCTCCCATGATCTACCAGTGAGTCTCTGCCCTGAACCAGAGGGGAAGGTCGTAGTCCTCTCCAACCATTCCAACCATTATCTGTCCTCCAGTGGAACCCCAGTACCTCCCTATCGATCATCTCCCTAGGTCAAACACCAGTGTCCCTCACTAGCATTCAAGGAGGAAAGCCTGGGCCCAAATCCTAAAGAGTTGTCACAATCCAGGGCCAGGCTTCAAGCTTCCAAAGGCGGCGACCCCTGCCCGGGCATGAGGCATTCTGCACTCTGATCCCAGCGATGCCAAGCCCGGGTGCATACAGAGGCTGTGAGAAGTGACTGGCCCAAGGTCACCAGTTAGGAAGGGGCCCCGCGCAGGGTGCGACTGTGGCCAGTGGAGACAGCCAGGGTCGCGGCCACGCCTCAGACTCCACAGGTACCGAGAAAGGGGCACGGGAGGAGAGTCCGCGGCAGGGCAGGGAGGTCGCGCGTCTGCTCCCCGGGCCTCCAGACGTCCCCAGTCCCCAGCCCAGCCCGCGCCCCGCGGTCCGCGCCCTCGGAAGCTCACCGGACTTCGGGGGATAGCGATAGGCCGAGTTGGCCTGAATGTCGATGTCCTCCACGCCCGCGATGCGGCGACTCAGGATGGAGCCCATGGTGCGGGCTTCTGCTGGCCGGCCGGAGAGCAGGGGGTGGCCGCTGCAGCGTTCTCACACGGACATAGCTCGGAGCAGGCCGCACCGACGCGCGTCCACCGCCGCCGCCTCCGCCGCGCCTCTCCACAGCCCCCGCCCCCGGCCGCCCTGGCCTTGGCCTGGCGCCCCGCCCCACCCCGCCCCGCCTCGCTCCGCAGCTCCAGGGGAAATGAAGTCCACTCCGGCCCCCGGCTCGCGGGACCACAGAGCGCCTGCGCACTACGCTGCCTAGGATGCCCCCTCACGTGAGTGGACACGGCGGGGCAAACCAAGACGCCCAGGCTTTGGGGGTAATTCCTTAAGACGACGCTAACCTCTGAGGCCCGGCCGGATGTTGAACCCAGAATGATTCAGTCTCTTCATCTTCTATGCACAGTTAGACACTTGTGGAAGCTCCAGAGCCTCCCACGTGAACTAGGTCTGAAAATAACTACTTTTCCCCAGCGTCTCTCCCCACTTCCCAAGGTTCTTCTACTAGCCTCAGCCTCAAAGGGAAAAAGGGAACACTTACCTGTTGAGAACTGGGTGGGCCCCAAGCTCACCGAACTTGGTTGAGCCTTGGCCAAAACCCAAAATAATCTCTGTCAGTCAAAACATTTACAATGAATATGTAATTTTACAGCATCCTCAGAAAAGAAATTTCTCCCCATTTTACACATAGGGAAACTGAGGCAGGGCACACTGCAATTTAATACGCTAAAAACAAGTTCAGAACAATCAGTATACTGATTGCAACCTTACAATTAACAAGCTATGCCCTGGCTTTTCACACACACACACCGTTGTGAGGATGCCAGGGAATGTTTTCATGATTGTCAGATGAGATCAGAGATGACGATTCTTTAAGATTTATTTTATGTATATGAATCCTTTATCTTCACGTACACCTGCACACCAGAAGAGGGCATCAGATCACATTATAGTTGGTTGTAAACGACCATGTGGTTGCTGGCAACTGAATGAAGACCTCTAGAAGAGGTCCTTAACTAGTGAGCCATCTCTACAGCCCCAGGTGTTGAGTTTCCTAATTTTTTAAAAGCTTTATTTATTTATGTATATGAATGCTCTGTTTTCATGCACACCAGAAGAGGGCATCATATTCCACTATAGATGGTTGTGAGCCACCATGTGATTGCTGGAAATTGAACTCAGCACCTCTGAAGAGCAGCCAGTGCTCTTAGCTGCTGAGCCATCATCTCTCCAGCCCAGGAATTGAGTTTCTTAGAAGTGCTTCCTAACTTGAACCTGCTGTAGCAGCAGGAAGCTAGGAAGACCAGCAACAAGTTAAGTGTCAGATGGTAAATTCACCATAGTCCACACAAATAGACTATGTCTGAATGCAAAGTCTGCTAAGCTCCTCCCACTATCCCTTGTAGATAAGGTCAAGTGCATAGGCCTTGATGAGTGAAGAGGAGACCCTCATGTGAGGGAGAGGGCAGAGAGACAAATGGTGAGAGGAGGGAAGCAGCAAATGCAGTCAGATTCCAAGAACTGATAGGCTGAGACAGTGTGATGATCAAAATGGCTGAATGATGGAATAACATATAATATACATGACTTCATATGATATTCAAATGATGAAGGGCCAGCCCTGGGACTAGTGCAAATGTAGAGAGTGGCTATCCACTGAAGGGCATGCTCTAGGTTGCCATTCACCAGGGCCAAAGACTTCTCCTGAGACCATGTTGTTGAGACTAGCAGAGAAGCTCCAGGACACCAGAGAGCCCTCCAAAAGTCTGAAGAAGCATCAATGAGAGCCTAAGAAACTAGATGAAAAGCTAGACTTCCTGGTTGACAAACTTGTTCCTCTTACTTTGGAACCAAAGATCAACAGTGTAAAGCTGAATCTGTCTGCTGGACTGCCTTTGTCCCTCAAGAAACAGGCTCCACCATCCTCCCGTAGTATTTGACTCCCACCCTGGCAGCAACCTCTGTCCCTGAAGAGTCAAGCTTTTGGTTATACTTTGGCTAATGTGGCTCCAGAGTTAATTGTGTGAAGATCTCCAAATTTCTTCAGACTTGATACTACACCAGCAAATTAGCACTACTGACCAGCTGGGAACGAAAACCATAATCTCTTTGTAATCATATTTAGAACCACCAGGCTTACCATACATAATGGCTACTATAGAGGTGTGCCTGGACTAATGCAAGCAAGGCCCTGATTACTGAACTGCACCAAAGATGCAGTTTCAATACATCTACCTCCCAGGCTGTGCCTGAGGGGGAGACATCTTCCTGAACTCTGCCAGTCACTGGAAACTACATAGCACCTCAGCACTCCACTACCCTTTCTGGAGCCATGACTGCCTGGCTCAAATGCAACAGCCACCGCAAGACAGCCACTCTTGATGGCATCCCATCTGATGTGTGGGATGGTATGAATCCACAGACAACTTGGATCATTGAGCTTGGATCTGCAGCTGCACCAGGCTATCTCAATTAATCAGGATTTCAGTTTCACCAGGAATCTTGAAAGCTGAAAGGAAATGACCCATATGTGACTATGGAGAGTCCAGGTGTTCAATGTAACCTGAAAACGTCTACCCTATAAATCTACACTGGCTAAACATTTTCCTCCCAGATAATTTCTGTCTGTAGACTGGCCTAGTCTACAGTTCATGATTCTAAGTGTTGGGGAGTATTAAGTATGCACGACTTCAGGACCAAACTCTTTTCATAGGTCACCTTGCCTGAGGGAGCTACACATATTCTCTCACCTAGTTCTCTGCTTTCATTCCCAGCTTACAGAAGGGGAAAGTAATGCTTACAAGTAAAGTAACCCTACTCCAGTCTCACAGCAGATAAATAGTATGATGGCTAGTGTTAACTCTCAACCTAACAGAACTCCAGTTACTGGAAGATGCTCTCCTGGACATATTTGTGGGGGGCTGTCTCATGTTAATTATGTAGGAGGAGATGTCTTTACTATGACTGGCATCATTTCTTAACCTTGGACTGTATGACACAGAAACGGTTGGGCCTTCGAGGTAGCACACAGGTAAAGGTGCTCCTAACTGAGCCTGGGTTTGACCCCCAAGAACATACATGGTGGAGAGCAAGAACTGACTCCAGAAAGTTTTTCTCTGAGCCCCACACTTACACATGGCATCCACACACTCACATAAACACACAATAAATGAAGGTGAAGTGAGCATTGACCTGTTTTCCTGATTGCGGATATGATGTGACCAGCTGATTCAGCTCCCACCATCTTGACTTCTCTGCCACATTGGGCCTCACCTTGCAATAGTGAGGTGGTATCAACTTTTTCTACTTTAAGTGTATTGAGTTCTTACATCAATACACTTAAGACACCCAAACCTGGTGTAGTCTTCATTAAAAATCAAAAAAGTTCCTTCTAGTAAATCTCATGTTACATGAATCTTTTAACACACAAACATACACATTGCATTCAGTTTACTGCCTTCCCTGATCACGGAGAGGGACAGTCCTGATGGCTCTGACATTCTCACTGAAATGGAGGGCCTGGGCACAGCAGGTGTTTCACCAAGTGGACATCTCACTAAACATTCTTGGGATTTGAATTCAGGAGCTCCAAAGCCCCTCCAGCAATATACTTCTGTGTTTGTCCACACCTTGTGGAAAATAAGCTCCACTATCAACATTTTAAATGATTAATTTTATTCAACAAATATTTATCAGGCAGCTGATGAGTCAGGCAACAGAGATCAACTGTGTGCATGTTCCCACATCCCCAATCTGAATGAAAAAGATCCCCCAACCCAATACTCAAGTTTCCTTTGCCGGAAAGATCCTGCTGGCCCACTGGATGCTCTTTTCTTTTACCTTTAAATGTCGCTGTAAGGCTGAAATCCACCTCAAACTTGTTTAACTATAAAAATGGGATTGGCACTCCCTAGAGCGGCCAAGGAAGGATTTCAAAAGAGATGCATGCCAGATGTCGTTCAGAGTGCCAGGCCTTTTGCTAGGCCCCATCTGTCCCACACAGCACAGCTAGGAGCTCCCACACAAGGGAGGAACTTGAAACAGCAGTCAAAAATGCCATTCAGGTCTGTCTGGCTACCAACCTGCCCACCTTCCTTCAGGCTTTGTCGAAGTCTCAATGGCAACAATGGAATCAGAGCTGCCTCTTACTGTGTGGTTTCCTTGTGTGCCGGCTTTGCCTACAATAACACACACGCATGACGATTCCTAGAGATAAAGCCCTGTTCTCAGCACAAGCAAAAATATTTTGGTTCTGCTACTTTGCAAAAAGTATTGCTGAGTGATCCCCAAAAGGCAGCAAAGAGGCTGATATCCTACTTCCTGGAGAAAGATGCTTAAGAAAGGGAGACACTCGCTTGTCACGCTGCTTACCCATGAACTAAACTCGAAGCTCTCAGTGTCCTCCCGGTTTTCCCTACTCCGTTACCTGAGGGCCATTCAGTCCCCGCCCACCTGTCTCCCACCTTCCTTCAGCCACCCCATCGGAGAGACTAGGGGTCAGGGGTCAGGTAGAGCCCCCAGTCCTCCCTCAGGTATCCACTGGGCACCACACCTCTACAGCCACAGTGGTCTTAGCAGAGAACGAGGGATCGGGTGTATGAAAACGCCTCAGTCTCCCGCAGTCTGCGCTTATAACCTTGGGGTTATAAGCGTCCGTGTGACGAATGCTGCATTTGTTCGTGGGTTTCCTGGCCTAAAGCTCCCACCCCGGCTGGCTCTACCATAGCAGAAGCCAGCGCGAAGGAGCGCGCGGCAAGGACGGGGGAGCAAGCGAGCCGGGCAACGTCACGACTGAGGGAACAAGGCCAGCCCTCTCCCCTAGCCTGTGGGCCAGTCTTCCCGCTTCCGCCGCGCCACGCTCCCACCCGCGACGTCAGCCGGAAGTGGCATGTGCGGGGCTGTAAACACGGCCCGCAACACCCTACACCCCGCTTCCGACCCCGCCCTCACGCCACGTGACGCGCCCGCCCCCGCCGCCGCCTCATTGGGCGACCAGCTTTGTTTACCTTATATGGCCAGGTCCTAACACCCCGTGGAGGCCCATTGGTACAGTCACGGCCTCACTCGGGTGACGTCACCCGGGACAGAAACATGCAAATAAACCGGGGCATGCTGGGAACGGCAGTCGTGGCCGCTGAGGTACGTGCTCCGCAGGGTCCTGGTGCCCGCAGGCTGCTGGAAGGTTTTTCTTTTCCGCGTAGGAAAGCAGGGACCAAATGGAACAGGACGCCAAAGCTCCAGAGACCACTGGTCTGGCCAGAGTTTCCCAGGGGCTGTCTTTAATTTAGACGCTTCTCCTGCACGACAGGCCGAGAGTCAGGCAAGGACTCCTTGCGAACTCCGGAAGGCTTCCCGGAGGTAGTGACTTGGAGCAGCGCCTTGAAAGGCAGATGCTCTGCTTCACCGACCGTCGTCTAAGTGTCAGAACTTCCAGGAGCCTTGCAGCCTAGGGCAGTGGTGTGGGGCCAGAGCTTGCGGGACGTCCCCCAAGGATGCGCCTGCTAACAGTGTGATGCTAAGCACAGCAGGCTGCAGGACCTCCGGGGTCCCATGACGCTGCCCGTCTGTGCTGTGGTCACCGGTCCCCGACTTCGCTTTACCGCCCGGGGCAGGGGCTCCGCGCCCCGCTGAGATCGGCCAGGGAGAGGGCGTCCTCGCTCCGCCCCGGTCCGTTCGGCGGGGGCGTCGCGGACTACACATCCCAGCATGCTCTGCCGGCCGCCGGGCAGCGAGGCGCGGTGAGTCAGAGCGCACAGTAAATATTTGTATTAGCCGAGGCCGGCTCGCTAATGGTGGACGCGTGAGGCGAGCGCGCAGGGAGGCCGGAGCGGGCTGCGCGACGGCGCCATGTCCGTGAACATGGACGAGCTCAAACACCAGGTCATGATCAACCAGTTCGTGCTGACGGCGGGCTGTGCGGCCGACCAGGCGAAGCAACTGCTGCAGGCGGCCCACTGGCAGTTCGAGGTTCGTAGGGAGACAGCGGACCGACGCGGGCGGCGTGGACACGTGCCGGGGTGCGGGCTGCGGGCTTCACCGACGGCCAGGCCAGAGCCTCGGAACCGGGGCTGTCCTGTGGACCCCCATTCCCTTGGTCCTGGTAACGGCCGAGGGCGGAGACGGAAGGCCGCCTGTCGGACGCCCGGGGCTGGGCGGGAGGCAGAGTCCCCCTGAGCGAACGGTCCCGGGGTCTGGGTGCCCGGTGGGCGGCTTGCGGCGTGTGCGCACACGTACATGTGCATTTGTATTTACGCACGCACCGCGCTTGGGCGTCAGCAAGGCTCATGGAAGGTTGTGGGCATGTGGGCGCGTGTGCGGACACGCAGCCCGGCCCGACTGCCTGTCTGATGGAGGATACCCATGTGTCACGTTTGGTGTGTGTGCATAAGTGGAGGTTTTCGGATTGTGGCCATGCTGGTTATGGTTCGGTATGTGTACACAGACGGCACGGAGTGTGTGGCTAGTGTGCAGGATCCCCACTCCAAAGGTGTGACCGGGCGGTATCCTTACGAAAGCCTGGGTGTCCTCGGGCCTGACAGAGGAACCTGTACCTTGGGATGGGGATTACAGTTCACTATTTTTAGGACATTCTAGACAGGGGTTGGAAATGCCAGTCTGACTCCTACCTATGTCCAGATTTCTCTTGACCTGTAGAATAGTGTGCTCCTGATATGCCTCTTTAGTCTCCAACTCAAAACCCCAGATTCACTCCATAGGCTTGGAGCCTTGTCCCTCACAGGTGTGAGGTCACAGCCAGAGCCAGTAGTCTGTGTTCAGTTGGAGACCCCAGAGCTCCCAATGGGAGCCATCCCAGAGAAGTCTCTGGGAAGATCCAGGAAGCTTAGCTTCCTGGTGCAGGATCGAAACGTCCCCAGTCTGGGAAGATAGTAGGCCTTCCAGCTCTGTAAATCAAGCCATTGCTCTTTTTACCTCTTTCCTGTCAGACTTTCAGGCCCAATTCTTTATTGAGGAAAAAGTAAGCTTTGTTCTCTAGCCTCAGTTTCCACACCCCTACAGGTAGCAGTGTTTGAGTCAACCTCTAAGGCCTTAAATGGCCTCACCTCAATCCCCTCCCCCTTGCAGCCCCACCCCAGGGAAGTGCCCTACTCCTCAACTCTGCAACAATCCTAATCTGCCCTGTTCACTGGGGCTGGATGTGGTAAAACTTGTAAAACCACATTCATGGCAGTTGCTGGAGCCCAGTGGCAGTGTTTGAAGGTCCTTGCCTAAGGCTGGCCAGGCCAGTGTCCCATGGGAAATGAACTATGTGGAGGACTCCCAGTCTGTCTGTCAGTATGGGACAGGCTGGGGGGAACAGACTGAAATATATCGTAAATATAAAGATCAGGGAAAACTGTCCCCATGAGGAGCAGGGCTTCCTGCAGCCTGGAAACGGGGTTCTGACTTACAGAATAGAGTCTCTGTGCCCTGGCTTGCAGAGCCTCCCTGTCACCATATGTAAAATGAGGAGTAGGCTGTGAATTCCCCTTGACCAGAGGCATCTTCCTAGGAGTGAGGGGCTCCACGTAGTTAGCCCTCCCCCACCCTCCTGGTTGGCAGCATACTCCAGGAGTGTTTCTGGGTCACATTCTCAGATTCAGGTGCTAATGGGGGCAGAGGCTGGGGGTGGGGGCAACCTCTGTGTAGCTGGGCAGATGTTTCTCAGTGGAGAACTGACAGTGTTCAGAGGGCAGGTTGTCATGTTGGGGCCCTGGGCTGAGGGAACAGCTGCCCCTGCCTGGGATTCTTGAGTGATACCAGGTTGATCCTCTCTCCACTGTTTGGGAACATTGGTGCAGGGCATTTCCAGTAGGAAATTCCCAGAATAACTCATTTGGATATACTTGAAGGGAAATAAAGAGCAAGCCCTGGGAGTCAGACTGGGTTTCTGCTGTGTTGGGGAGGGAAGGGGCTTGCAAGTCCTGCTGGCTTTGGCCTGGGTTATTATTGCCCAGCTGAGAAGTAATGATGCTGCAAGGCTGGGACTTGGCAGGCTCCTCAGGACCCCTCACCCACTTGACAGCCTTCCTGACCCAGCGCTTTCACAAGAGCACACAAATTTCTCCTTTCTTTAAGGGGCCCCAGGCAGGACATGATCAATACAAAGACCATCCTTTGGGTTCCTGAGGCCAGTTTGGAGCTCCCTCCCATGTGACACAAGGCTTATGCTGGGTCCCCCTTTTTTTTTTTTTTTTACCACATTCTGGCCAGTCCTGAGAGTTTGCCTAGAGTCTCAGTCTGGGGTTCTGATCCCATTTCCATCTCATGCTAGCCAAGGGTCTTAGAAAGTTATTTCATCCTCAGTTTTCCTGTCTTTAAAATTAATGGCACCAGTTCTACCCTCTAGGATTGATGATGAGTCCTGTTTTGTTCGTGCCCCTCTTGAAGAGGCTGTTGCTTGGAACCAGCCAACAACAGGTAGCTAGGGAGTTGTCCCATAACCTATCTCAAGAGTGGTCTTCAGTTTTGTGGAGGTTCAGTTTCTGGGTCACACTGTAGCTGTCTATGTTAGGGACATCCCTCCAAAGAGGGAAGTTATGCTGAGAAGCAGGTTTCCACACTCTAGGCTGAGACTCTGTGAGTATCCCCTGGCTCATATATGACGATTCTGAGTCTCAAGAACTGTGGGGATTTGCCACCCATTGAGGTGACAGACCCAGGCCATGATAGACCCAGAAAAGCCACAGTAACAATTCCATGGGTAGGGGCAGGGGTTCGGTAAGCCACAGGTACCTGACTGGTGGCAAGCAGTGCTGTAAGGGTCTTACTTATCCAACCTGCTGCTGTGAGTTCCATGATACCTCCTTGAGTGGTGGTCACAGACACTGCAGGATCTCAGCTCTGTCCCACTGGGATGGTTGGACAGGTCTTAGAAGGTAAGCGCAGCCTTTCTCCCTACAGACGGCCCTCAGCGCCTTTTTCCAGGAGACCAACATCCCCTACAGCCACCACCACCAGATGGTAAGTGGGCCCTGGAGACCCAAAAGTGGCCACACTGACGGCTCCCAGTCTGCCAGGGGGAGGCTGAACTTATTGGCTACACCTAGAACTCAGAGGGAGGAGGGTGGTGCGCTGAAGCTGTGGGGTGGACAACCTGGTCCCTGCAGAACCTGGAGGACACTGGCCGTTGGAGCCCAGCTCCCGCCAGGCAGTCAGCCAAGGCCGCCATGCTGACCACAGGCTGGGAAACCTCATGCCTGAGGCAGCAGGCATTACGCCAGGTGGTGTGGTCTCCTTGAAGCCAGACCAACCCATTTTGATGCCTTTTCCTGAGAGTTCTTCCCTGGGTGGTGGGCCAGCTGGGACCAGATGTAACCCAGGTGACTCCCAATAACTTCTGGGCATGTGCCTTCTTTTTAGAGGCAGCAAAGGCCCTACCAGAAAGGGATGCTTATCCTCCATCTGTCCTTTCTTCCCCCACAGATGTGCACTCCTGCCAACACCCCTGCCACGCCCCCCAACTTCCCTGATGCCCTCACCATGTTCTCCCGTCTCAAGGCCTCCGAAAGCTTCCACAGTGGTGGCAGCAGCGGCAGCCCAATGGCCACATCGGCCACATCACCCCCACCGCACTTTCCCCATGCCACTGGCAGCTTCGTAACACCCAGCTGGCCAACTGCAGCCTCCCCCCCAGGAGGCCCACAGCACCACCAGCCACAGCCGCCTCTGTGGACTCCGGCACCCCCTTCCCCAGCTTCAGACTGGCCTCCCATGGCTCCCCAACAGGCCACCTCAGAACCAAGGGCACACCCTGCCATGGAGGCAGAGAGATAAGGGAGGCCCCTCCCCCCCTCCCGGAGGCCAGAACCCCGTGGGGTGGGGGAGAGGATGTCTCCGTGGGCCCCTTCACCCTTCCTCTGTCTGCACCCCTGTACCCTAGAGCCCTGGAGGGGAGAAACTGGACTCTAGCTAGGCAGTCTTCTGCCATCATGCACAGCTGCACGCATGCAAATTCACAGCACAGGCACCCCCAGCTCACGTGGATTTGACTAAAGTGGCTTGGGTGCCTGGTGGGCAGCATCTTGGAGACCAAGAAGCCATCCCAATGAAGACTCACCTGCCTGGCCGCACCACCTGGAGTGTTTCAGAGAATCATTTGATGGCAGAGGCGTGGCTGACTCCTGTCTTGGGGCCAGTAGGCCTAGAACCTCACCCTTGGGAATGCAGAGCCTTCTCCGCATGTGTGCGTGTAGCTGTGTCTATGTATTTATATGTATGTCGCTCCTTAAAAGCAACCTAGTTTATGGGGCACCTGGACTTTGCATGTTAGAGTGAGCCCCAAGTCCCTTGGCCCGCCACCCCATTTTCCAAAGGGCCCTGCCTCACTCCACCTCCTTATCTGCCAGCATTGCTGTTTCCTGTGAAGGATTATGGGAAACTCCAGGACTCTTCTACCCAGCTCCAGCCCCTACCTGCTGGGGTTTCCTGCATGCCTCTTCCCCAGAGCCCAGAGGTACCTGGTCCCCATTTACTACCCCCTTTTAACAAAAGAGAAAAGAATTCCAAACCACCAGGCTCTGTAGTCTTGCCTTATATATCCTAGCCATTGCTGGCTGGCTCTGGAAGTGGGTGCCAAGCTGAATAAGCCGCCCTAATCTCTCCTAGCTCCACACTCTCCTCTGTTTCTTGCTGTCCTTGCTACATGATCTGAAATCATCTTGCCTACCAGACGTTATCCCTGCTAAGTTTTCCAGCCTTTGTTCCCAGAATCTCACCTTTTATTTAACCCTTTCCTGATGAGATGAGTGGGTCTTTGCCCTGTTTGAGTGGGGCTTATACCTGTCCCCCTGGGCTTCACATGGATCTTCTTGGACCCTTAGTATGGCCACCAACTGTAGGGCCTACTAGAGCTCCATACTAGCCTATAATCAGGGATGGTAGGAAACTGTCTCTAGGGGATCTGATCCTAGGGCCACTTGCCATGCACTGTAGCCATGTGGGCTATGTATAATGTAGTTCATGGTCTAATGTTAGTTTTTAAATCCCAGCAGCCCCTGAGTGGCCTGTGGTAGACCATACCTTCCCTGCTTAAAATGGTGTTTTATGGCAAAGTGGAAAACTGCATCACCATAGAGCTTGTTCTGTACATAGAACCTTGGTACCGAGCCCACACCCCAAGTCAGGCTCTCTAACAGGAGCCCCTGCTACTAAATACACACCAGCATTTTTGGCCATCACCCTGCCCCCAGACAAGGTTTCTCTGGGTATCCCTGACTGTCCTGGAGCTTGCTCTGTAGGCCAGACTTCAAACCCAGAGACCCACTTGCCTCTGCCTCGAAAGGTTAAAGGTGTGTCCTGCTGCCACCACCACCCAACTAACACTGAAGTTTTAAGAAGTTACCCCATAAGACACCTAAGCATCCTGGAGATGAGTCTAGGTGTTTGAGGAGGCTGCTGAGAGTTAGGTCTGGGGATCTCAAGTGTTTACACATATTAAGGCAGAAGGACCTTGTTTTGTTTTTTAAGATTTATGATGCATACGATGTTCTGTCTGCATGTTCACCTGCATGCCAAAAGAGAGCACCAGATGTCATAGATGGTAGTGAGCCACCATTGGTTGCTGAGAATTGAACTCAGGACCTCTAGAAGAGGAGCCCGTGCTCTTAATCTCTAAGCCATCTCTCCAGCCCCCCAGAAGGGACTTTTAGCCTATCGCCTGAGCAGGGAGTGTCCCTACAATGATGGCTGTCCTGTAAACAATGTGATGCCCAGCATTCTGGAAGCCTGCCTAGTATATCAGGTAGCACCGGTCTCCACTGTGATAATCAAAACCCTGTGCGGACGCTGCTGACATTCTCTCTGGGGATGGCCATTGCTAGTCAACGTGGTTCACACACTCAGCCTAAACAGACCCCAGGTTTCCAACCCATCTACGTTAGTGCTGGGGAGAGTAGCAGGTAGGCAACGGATCCCTTGGCCTACACTAACAGCCATTTAGTTTACACTTGGAAAAGGTGAGCTTTCTGGTGTGCCAAAAGTCTACAGCCCTGGCTACTAGGTGGTTCTGATGCAGTTGCTGAGCACACCATCACCAGACTCCTAATCTCCAGACTTGTAGGATTGAGATTATGTTGAGTGCTTGAATTTTTTGAGAGCCTGCAGTTGGTTTTGTTTTGAAGCAGGGTCTTACTGTGTGGTTCAGGCTAGCCTTGAACTGGCCTAAATGCTGGGATTACCATCTGAGTCATTTTACGCAGTTTTTAAGTGCTTGTCAAATATCCTAGGTTCCAGCTTCTCTAGACAGCCAAGGATGAGGGTCCTAGCCCAATACTTGGATTTCTAGGATGCTGGAGCACTCCAGTAGGTAGGACCCTGGGAACACAGGGCGAGCTGGAGTCAAGGAACTCATTTCCCAGAGCATTCAAGTCCTGCCAGGTGCACTTCCAGTGCTGGTCTGAGCTGCTCTGAACAGTACAGTGTCAGGACTAACTTGGGAGAACCTAATGAGGCTGGTGACCCTTTGTAACACAAACCCTGGACCCTCCATAGCTTAACCCACACCAAGAAACTAGAAGCAAAATGACCCAACAGTGGTCTATGTTCAGAGAAGGTTGGCTAAAGAGCAAAGTAGCAAAGTTCTAGAACAGACCTAGTTGTAAGCCATCCTTGGCAGCACTTCATCTCAAGCATATCCTGGGAGCAGCCTGAGCAACAACAGAAACCAACTCATGGGCTCATGATGTTGCTGAGTTGGAAGAGGGCTTGTTTAGCACACATGAGGCCCTGGCTGTGATTCCTAGCACTGCATAAACTGGTGAGGCTTGAGAGCATACACCTGTCATTTCCCAACTCTAGAATATGGAAACAGGATCAGAAGTTCAAGGTCATCAGCTATATATGGAGGTAAAAGCAAGCCTGGGGTACAGGAGACCCTGTCTCAGAACAACAACAAAAACTAGCCTGTTAGAGCTAGTCATGTCCCACTTGCCCAAATGACTGGTGACGAAGTGATTTTTCACAGTTCCACTCTTTAAAAATGCAATTTGCATTCATGAGGTTGCTTTAAAGACTGTTTCAAGCTTTGTGATTGAGTCCCAGAGAACATTGTGACATACAGGAATAAGGGAAAACCTTGTTTGACAGTTGGGGGCTGTACCCTCCCTTTGGAGGAGGGCAGTTATCACAGGGGCTTATGAACTTTGTGACATATACAGTGTTGCCTTTTTTGCGAATAACTATGTCAGCATTTGAAAGTCAAGAGGTTTAATGTAAAAAGCCTCGCTTCTGACTTCTCTTGGAAAACTGGAATATGTGACTCAAATTACCTCACGGGCACACTAGGGATACAGCGTGGCCCACTTCTGCTGGGTTGGTCCCCTCCATTTCATTGGCTACATAAACATTTCCAGCTGCTGGCTTGAAATCAGCCACCCTCTGACAGGGACCTTGCTTTTCACTCAGCAATTGCAGAGCAAAAGCCCTATACAGACGGTGGAGGGCACCGGCTGGGGAACACAAGTCTAAGCTGCTTTCTGTAGGTGCCAGGGCTCCTTCACACAGCCTTAAAGAAAGACTTGTTCTTTGAGAGTCTCAGATGTGGAGCCGCACCCAGGGCTGCTCAGTATCCCTAGGGTTCAGTGGCCCAGCCAGGGTTCTCTCGGCATACACCACAACCAACCCCGAGAGCCACGCTGTCCCCAGTGTTGGCTGTGGTCCTCAAGGTGTCTATGGGGCTTTTTACAGCAGTCCCTGACCAGCAGAGGACAGCTGAATCCTTAGATGGGGGTCTTCTGGTGTGGGGAGTCCTCTTAGGTTGACTAAAATGAAAATCTTTGGATGGAACGCAATTTCCAATTTCTGTGTTTGGAAAGGTCCAAATTTGTGGCTATGGCAAATGTTTAGGTACAATATGTACCTCAAATGAGCTTTTAATACAGCTCTTTTGGGGGGGTAGGAGGTGCTAAGTCCTCTTGAGATAAGCAGGGTGGAGCTCTGATAAAACAGGTGGCTCAGGATGGCAAAGCCATCCATGTCTGACGAAACACAAGGTGCTGGGATACCAGTGGCCAAAGTCCTGCTCTGCTTGCTTGGCCAGTAACCATAACCTCTGCTGTAGTCATTTTGTACAGATTCTGATAAAGCAGGGTTGCTGAGAAGAGGGGAACTTCTCTGATGGTGTGAAATGGAAGCCACTGCCTAGAGCCAGCCAACTTGGTATGTTGGGGGTCAGCACACGTGAAGTTTGGTGTTGGAAAGGCTCTTCCATCCAGAGCTAGAACTTCCACATGGAGAAGATTCCTGACTATTCACTTACAGCAGTCTGGAGCTGGCCTTCATGGTGCAGGGCATCACTGAGCATCTGCCCTGCTTCAGCAGCACATCCAGGTAGACCCTCTGCAGAAGACACCGTCCTCTCTGTGATGCCTGGCCCCTTGTTCAGCTCCACACCTTCCCTTGCACCTGTCCCAGTCACCTCAGTCTTTGTTGTTTTAATATGATTAAGTGTTTTGCCTGCATGTATATATGTATATATGAATGCCTGGAGGCCAGAAGAGGGCTTCAGTTCTCCCAGAACTGGAGTTACAGATGGTTGTGAACCTCTTGGGTACTGGGAACCACACCTGGATCCTTTGGAACAGCCAGTGCTCTTAACTACTGAGCCATTTCTCCAGTCTTTTGTTTGTTGTTTTTTTTTTTGAGACAGGGTTTTATGTAGCCCAGGTTGGCCTTGACCTTCTAATACTCCAGCTACTTCCCAATACTCTAGTACTCCTCTATTTCCCAAGTGCTAGCTAGCATTACAGGTGTTCACAGCCATCCCTGGCTATCATCTTACTCTTAAAACTCAAAGGCTAACATCCTGAAATGCCCTATGCCAATGGGACAAACCAAGACATTTGGTCACCCACCCTGTATCCAGTCTGGTTTTGCAGCTACTCCTAATCCTAATTGTGAGCCCTGTGGGAGGAAAAGACTGGGACAGGCCTGAGATGGGGTTCTGCTGCTCTGGGTGCCTTTCCCTTTTGTGATGGGATCAGCCATGTGCCTGTCACCTCCCAGCCACCAACCTATAGGTCTGTCTTTGAAGTTGTAATCCCAGCACTCTGGAAGGCAGAAGCAGGTGGACCACTGTGAGCTCAAGGCCATTCTGGTCTATAAAGTGAGTCCAGATATCAAAAAACAAAAGAAAAAAATTGTCTGAAGTTTAGCTCCCAACTACTTGTTCCAAAGTAGAAGGATGGACATTGACCTGCAGGAGTGAGGACTTATCCTCACTTCCTGTGCTGTAGGAACCAGCTCCAGTGTTGACCACTGGTATTCTTAAACCTTCAGAGCAGCCTCAGAAGGCCACTTAGAAATGGCCTGCTGCAGAGGTTAGACATGAGTTTGTGAGAGAGAGGAGTGCCCTCTTTGAGAAGCTGGGGAAGCTCCTGGACGCCAAGCACACGTGCATAGGCGCAGCTCAGACCCCACCTCCCCAGCAACAACCGTCTACAATGGAAGACAGAATAGTACAGTATCCAACAGTTACAGCCTCGTGGGTGAGTCAGAGCTGTGTGACCCTCAGCCATGATTTGTCCATAGGGCTGAAGCAGCTCAGGGAATGTGGCTGCCATGCTGGTAAACAGCTTGTGAGTCTCTGCAGACCTTTTAAGTTCTAGACAGGGGCATTGAGAGGCAGATTTGAGTCACTTCAGCTAGTGGCCAGAGAGGGGACCATCAAGGCCATTGGCTCCAGGCCAAGCCTGTTACCTAAATTCCAAAAGGAGTAAGATTTTGTTCCAGCCAGAAAATGCCAAAAATACGGGGATGGGGTCTCCAGGGAGGTATAGATAAGTGAGTCACCTGGATTAGACTGGCCCAGCCTCATTTGGAAACCTTTGCAAAAAATGAAAAGGTGGGTGGCCTGGGCCTGAGCTGATAACAAGAGGCCAAGGGAGCATTGTAAATAGACAGACAAGCACACAGCCCCTCCCCCCCCCCACATGGATGGCCTCCCAAGCCAAGGGTTCTTTCCTCCATACCAAGATCCTCCTCCCCCAGTTCTCTTGGGAAGCACCCTCCATCCACCAGCACACCGGCATCCTACTCAGCCAGAACCCTCGGAGATGGAGCAGGAGCCATGCCTGGCACCTATGCTCAGGAAGGTTGTCTGTGCCTATGAAGTAGGGTGGACTCTGAGCGGGAGAAAAGGGAGAGGAGAGGAGACAAAAGACGAATGTGAGGGAGTGAAAGTAAGAGAAGCAGGAAACAGTCACTAAATGGATTAACCCAGCTTGAGTGTCCAGGGAACCTGGCTGCACTTGCACCTCCACTTCATGCCCTGAGGCTAGTCACTAATTGCCACAGGGAAATGGGACCTCAGATGCATTCCACCAAGTGCATTCATGGGCTGTGAACCAGCTACGCTTGGGATAGGTTTGCAGTACCCCAGCCTTGAAAGGTACCCCACAGCCCTAGGATACACCAAAGATGTCATACCAGTCCTGTGGATTAGTTATAACAATTAAATGGAGCTGAGCATGGTGGCCACGCCTTTAATCAGCACTCAGGAGGCAGAGGCAGGTGGATCTCTGTGAGTTCCAGGCCAGCCTGGTCTACAAAGCAAGCTGAGAACAGCCAAGGCTACACAGAGAAACCTTGTCTTGAAAAATCAAAAGAAAAAAAAAATAAAAGGTTAATTAATTCAAGAACTGGAGATAGCCAGGCATAGTGACACATGCCTTTAATTCTAGCACTTGGGAGAAAGAGGCAGACAGATCTCTGAGTTTGAGGTCAGCCAGGTCTATATAGTGAGTTCTAAGACAGCCAAGGTTACACGGGGAAACCCTGTCTAAAAAAAACAAAAAATAAAAATAAAAAATAAAACAAAAAACTGGAAATGTAGCTCGGTTGCTAGAGTGCGTGCCAAACATGTCCAAGTCCTTGGTTTGATTCCCACTGCTGCAGAAACTTGGTACAGCAGTACAGGCCTGTAATTCCAACATTTGAAGACACTGAATTATCAGAAGGTCAAGGTCACGATCAGCTACAGAGTGAGTTCAAAGCTAGCATGGAATACATGAAATCCTGTCTCAGAAATAAATAGAGCCAAAGAACTAGCTCAACAAGTAAGGGTGCTTGCTGCATAAGTTTGAGGACCTGAGTTCAGATACCTAGAACCCATGTAAGAAGCTGGGCATGGTCTTGCACACAACTGTAACCCCAGTACTGGTGGGCCGGGGGCCAGAGACAGAAGGGTTGCTATGACTTGCTAGCCACCAGCTTAATGCCATGTTAATGCTCAGTGAGAGACCCTGTCTTAAGAGAATAAAGTAGATGACGATAGAACAAGATACTTTTTTTGTTTGTTTTTAAATATTTATTATGTATACAATGTTGTCTGCATGTACACCTGCACACCAGCAGAGGGCACCAGATCTCATTATAGATGGTTGTGAGCCACCATGTGGTTGCTGGGAATTGAACTCATGATCTCTGGAAGAGCAGACAGTGCTCTTAACCTCTGAGCCATCTCTCCAGTTCCTTATTTTTGTTTTTTGAGACAGGATTTCTCTGTGTAGCCTGGGCTTTCCTGGAATTGCTTTGTTGACCAGGCTTGCCTTGGAACTTGCAGAGCTCTGCCTGTCTCTGCCTTTGCCTGCCTCTGCCTTCTGGGATCACAGGCATGGGCCACCACACCTGGCTGACACTTGGTTCTTTCTATGACCTCTGTACATGCACAGGGGCTCACTCACAAACAATTCAATTCATAATGGTCTCTGGTAGAAATTATTAGAGGAAATAAAAGTAATGCCTGGTGCGGTTTGCTTCCCATGGCAAAGTTAGTGAATGGCCTCAAAAGAAGATTCAAGGAGGAAGAAGCTAATCCTGATATATTAAGCAAAATGCCAAGGAAGGGGTTTTTTTTGTTGTTTGACACAGGGTCTCATGTATCCCACTGGTTGTGAACTCACTGTGTAGCTGAGGATGATCCTGGCCTGGTCCTCCTACCATCATCACTGAAGTGCTGTAATTGCCGGTGTATGCCACCATACCAGCTAAGTGTTGGTGCTAAGGGGAGGATGGGGGATGTCAAACTCAGGATTGTGAATACTATGCAAACACTCTGCCAAACCAAAGGGGATAGTTTTGGAACTGCTATGTGCTATTCAGGAAATTGCTTAAGAAATTCAGTTGGCTTTGTGAAAAACTTCACTCAGAAGCTGAGTTATCCATGAAAATGTTGGCTAGGAAGGATTGTATGGTTTTTATTTTAGATACACAATTAAACACTAAATCAACACGGGTCCTCTATGCAGACCCTTCTCCTATATCCGGGATCCCTGCGCCCTTTCCTAGATCTGTTCCAGGGACTAGGTCTCTTAGAGCGAGGGGACCCCACGGTAATTGGGCCACAGGCTTAGGTCTCACGGGTTGGTGTGCTCCAGCCGCAGAGGTTTCAAGTGCTTGGTGGATCCAGTGCTCTCTTGGATATCCCTTGAGACTGGGATCAGTGGTGGTAGCTGTGGTAATGGTGGCAGGGATGGCGGCCGAGCCAGCGTTGTGGCAGAATGGAGAGAGGTGGCAGAGGTCATGTTGTTGCGGAGGCCCAAGGCTGCAGATGAAGCAAGAAAAACCCATGCGGTGTTCTAACAACATTGCTGGAAGCTGCTAGCCTGATGGAGTGCTCCCCCAGGGAACAGCAGCTGGAGACTGGAGATACGTCGTGAGCTGTGGCAGGGCTGGCCACCGCACTTCCTCTGCTCCTGCTCCTGAGCACTTCCTCAAAGGTGACTAGACATACAACTCCAAGAATGGGTACTAGGAGAGAGTGGTGCACCTATCTATAGGGAGAGGCTTGGAGTCTGGGCTCAGGCGTCTGAGCCAAGTCTCAACTATTTTGTCCTTGACAAGGAAAACAGCACCACCCTGCTGAACCAGGTCAAGAACCGGAATAGTCAGACAATAGGAAGTGCTCTGTGAACATCAAGACTCCTCTAGAGGGCCAGATATATGAACCAGAGAAGCTCAAGGTCTCAGTCCTTTCAGACTGGCTCCTGGCAGCCCTGGCCAAGAAACCCAGGACTATGAGTGGCCTCATTTGTCCCACCTCTGCAGCTAGGGAGACCCCTGGGGGCCAGGCAGTGGCCAGGAAACTCCCTTGAAGGGGAACACACAAACCCAGAACAGTTGTTTTGTTTTTTTTCCTGGCAAGAGAGAAGGTGGCTGCCAGGATGTGGACAGAGCAGGCAAAATGGGGAGATGAATGGAGTGAGGCCCAGGCTTGAGGTGAGGGGAATGGGGAAGGACCAGGAGAAACTGGAGGATCTGCTAGAATCCTAGGAGGGGCAGGTACTCACGGGGGTAGCTTGGAGCAAGTAAGGATCCCGGGCGCACGCGATCATTCATGTTTTGAACCAAGGGACACGAAACCTTCACAGCTGAAGAGGAAAGAGCTGAATAGGTGGGGCCCATCCAGAGGTCTGGCTTCTACTTCAGGCCAGACTTTTTGCTCTGGTGAGATCCAAGCAGGGTAAAGCTGCTGAGCTTGTCCCAATTCAAGCTCTGCTTTATATGAATATACCACCCACTGAGAGAAAAGCCCCTCCCTTAGCCCCTGTGAGGTCTACGTCCATAGACAGAGATGGAGACCCTGGTCCAGGCTCCTCTCCTGAGGCTACTTCACACCAAGCAGACCTCCCTTGTTTGTGAAAGGCCTCACAAAATCCTTGCTGTGGGCAAGGATTCTGAAGTGCCTAGCACAGAGTAGGGCTCCTCAAACATTAGCCCCTGCTGTCCTGCTTTAGTTATCCCTGAGGCCCAGCTGAGTCCCCTCCCATCAGATCAGCAATTTTGTGCTGAGCAGTCACTTCCTGCCTGGGCAAAGGTGGACCACTGAAAAATATGTTCCGTGGAACTTACAGAAGTGATCTTATTGACGCAAAAAGATCTTTGCAGGTATAATTTCAGGTCTTAAAATAGGATGACCCTAGGTCGCACTAAGTCTGAGGTCCAGTGACAAGTGTCCTTTCAAGAGTCAGAAGGGAAAGGACTGGAGAAGGAGGCCGCAGCAGTGGCAGCTGGAGTGATCTGGTCCCTGCTGAGAGGCTCCGGCAGCCACAGGAGCTGACAGGGGCAAGGAGAGAGACTGGCCCCAGCTCTGCGGAGAGCACAGCCTACACTGTGACTTAGGACTTTCAGCCTTCAGATCACTAAAGTGTCCTGTGGCTTTCGGGCCCTGGGTGTGGTGGTTAGCTCTGACAGTTGTTATGGGCAGGGGTGGGTGGCTCTCTAGCATATCAGTAAGGCCAAATCTTTTCTCTGTTGCATGTCTGGACTCAGTGCTCTGGCCCATGGGCAGCCCATGTGGTTACTATGAGTTAGACACCCTTGGGATCCTGTGACACCCTTGATGTAAGTGCTGCTTTATCCTTCCCAGAGGAAAACATCCCAAAGGGTGTGCAGAGAAGCTCCATTTTTGTATTATTTCATTTCACACCCAAGAATCTTGGGGTTGGGCTGCAGAGATGGCTCAGAGGTTAAGCGCACTGGGTGTTCTTCCAAAGGTACTGAGTTCAATTCCCAGCAACCATATGGTGGCTCACAACCATCTATAGTGATATCTGGTGCCCGCTTCTGGCCTGCTGGCACACATGCAGGCAGAACACTGTATAAATAATAAATCCTTTTTTTAAAAAATCTTAAAAATCTTAAAAAAAAAAGCAGGTGTAGTGTTGCACACCTGTAATCCCAGCACTCAGGGAGGCAGCAACAGGTGGATCTCTGTGAGTTCAAGGACAGGACAGACATGGCTGTGCTGAGAAAACCTGTCTTGAAAAACAAAACAAAATTCTTGGGGCCCCAGACACCAGAGTAACCACAGCAACTGATTTTCTCACTGGCCTGACCCTTAGCCTCTTTACCCTTACCCTAGTTTCTGTGCTCCAGACCGACTCATCCTTCCCCAGTTCTGCCCATCTTACCACAGGACCTTTGAGCCTACTACTCCCTCCACTCAGGCCACACTCCTCCCTCTCCACCCCCTTCAGCAACTAACACACCTGTTCCTTCTTCAGAGGTGCTCAAGGAGGTATCCAGCTGATCCCCAATGGACCAGCTTTGTCTGGCTCAGCTCTCATTGCTGCTCCAGCATCCCTCCCTAGGCTGGTCTTTGCTGGCATCCAGCTGCCTTATGGCTGGGGCCTTCAGCTCAACTATTCATTTGTTTTCCAGTACTGGGGAAAGAACCCAGGGCCTTGTATTTGTGAACTCTTTCACTGAACTGTACCCTTAGTCCCTCAGGTCAATTTGTATTTTTGTTTGTTTTGTTTTGTTTGTGTAACCCTGGCTGTCCTAGAACTTGATCTGCAGACCAGGTTGGTCTTGACTTCAGAGACCCACCTGTCTATGCTGGGATTAAAGGTGTGTGCCACTGCTGGTCATTGGTGGCTCACGACAGCACTCAGAAAGCACAGGCAGGCAGATCTCTGTGAATTTGAGGCCAGCCTTGTCTAAGAGTGAGTTCCAGGACAGACAGGGCTACACAGAGAAACCCTGTCTCAAAAAACAGAGGGGGGAGGGAGTGTGTTGCATGTCTGACTCAGGTTGCTTGTTTATCTCTATCTCTGTCACCATGAATTCTTGCCTTCTGCCATGTGCTCATAGGCCACACTCACCCACCCAGCTGTCCATAAGGGGCCCTTCATCATGTTTGTTCCTCATGGTTTCCTGGTGCCTGGTACATAATGGGGACTGTACTCTTGCAAGTGGCTGTGAGGGCCCCTCAACCAGGGGCAGCACCAGCCATGAGTCCACCTGAGTCCCCTTGTTCTGGCCAGGAGAGCTGGATCCCAGGGCAGGAATCCTAAGAAACACCAATGTTCCTCACCTGACAGGTCCTTCTCCCCAATCCGAGCCCCAAATTGGCTGCTCATTCGGCCTTTGTACAGGACTCCATCCACTCCCAGGATGTCCACCTCTGCCTGTGGATGACCATGGTCCCAAGTCAGGGGCTCCATTGCCATCCTTCCCTCTTGATGCACACAGATGCCCAGAGCCAAAACACAGCCTCCTCAAGGTGCCCACAGCTCAGGGCTTCATCCCACACCTGGGGCTGGGTATGCTGGTATCCAGCCTCTGTGGGTGGAGGGCACAGCCAGACTCACAGAGTCATAGTCGATCAGCTGAGGATCCCCATAAGGGTAGAGTGTTGACAGCTCATGTGACTTGTGCTTGAAGGTAGTCTCATTTCGGGGCCCATCACCCCAGTCCTTCTGGAGGCCCAGCTCCTCACGGACTCCAAAGTTCTGGAAATGCAGCTGCTGCTTCTGTTCCCTGGACAGGGCAGAAGGTCAGCAGCCACATGGATACCCCTCTGTCACAGAGGAGGCCAACACAAGTCCCCAGGCTCTGGACAGTATCAAGGAAGGTAAATAGTACAGCAGGCAAGTCTGGAGTGTAGTGAGCAAATAAGACATGGGCAGGTCTAGGAGGGGAATAATCCATACTCCCTTCCCTCAACCAGCCATCCCTGGAGCCCCCGTCTGACCTCGCTAAGCACATGCCCTCATCCTGGGCTCCAGTCATCAGGCATAGTACTGGCGAGCCAGCACAGGTTCATTCTTCCCCTGGGGTGACTAGCGCTTGGTTGTTCATTCCCCCTATCCCACTCATGGCCACAAGCTCACACAGGCTGTGCCCTGCCAGGACCCCTGGCACCCAAGGATGAAGTAAATGGAGCTAGGGTCCAGGGAGCCAGCTAGGTTGAGTGGAAAAATGATGGCAGGTCAGGCTCGCCAGCCACTCACTAGCTGTGGTCTTTGGCAGGTCACGTAGTCTGAGTCTCAGTCTTTTCAACTGTGAAGTAGAATGATAAAGGGATACACTTCCAAAAGAAGCCAGCAAGGCTTCAGCAAGAGCTCCCAGACATATCCACAGTTACTCACCCACAAGGCAACAAACATGGCAATCCTAGATTCCAGGGGTTATAAGACAAGGGTAAGCCCTCCTACTTGCAAACCCCATTCATTTGGCAGCGCTGGGAACGGACCCCAGGGCCTCCTACCTGCCGGACAAACACTATCACTGAGCCGAAGCCCCAGCCCTTTGTTCCTGTTATTTTGAACCAAGGTTTTACTTTTTAGGCTGTGAAACCCTTAGATACTTTTGCCTCAGTCTCCTGAGTAACTACCATATATGCTCTGCTATAGGACCCAAGTTCCTGCCCACAGCAGACGCCAATGCAAATGTTGGTTTCTCTCCACCACTATCCTCTGTGTGCTTTTCAGCCATACCACAACCTCCCAGATGAGCACCCTGGGCCCTCTTTGGCACTTGCATTGAAGGAAAGTCTCTGCAGGACAAGGGTCTTGGGCCTCTCCAAGGGTGGGGATGGGCATGGCCCTCACCTCATCAGCTGCCGCTGCAGATAATCGAAACTGTTGGCACTGGCTGGCCTCACTCGTGATAGCCCAGGGGCATTGCGGATGGTGATCAACTGTCTGTGGACAGAGGGACCAGGGCTACGAGAGGTGCACATGGCCAGGAGAGGGCTCCACCCTCCCAGGCTGTCTGCAGCTTGAAGCTCACAGCCCATATACAAAGCTTGCAGGACCTCTGACAACTGGGGGAAGACGCAGACCCTGTTCTGAATATAAAGTGAAAGCAAGCCAGGGGTGTTCGTGCACCCCTGAATCCCAACACTTGGGAGACTGAGGCAGGAGGATAGCAAATTCAAAGTCAGCCTGTACTATTAGTTCATTCTGAATTCAAGCCTAAGGCTACCCTGGGCTATACAGAAAGGCCTGTCTCCAGTAATCACTAAATAAACAGGGCTCAGGCACCAGAGAGCAAGAGGCTTCATATTAAGAATACATTCACTGCGAGAGCTCCCTTCAAATGGCTAAGGTCATATCCTGTGTATTTTACCTCCATAGGGAAACAACAATAAGGAAATCCAGAACAGCTTTCCAGAGAGCTGGGCCCACCCCATCTCTCCATCTGAGCTGTGGCTACGTACACACAGAGGTGTCCTTTATGTAGATGGTAAACTGTAATGAGACATGTTCAGTGAAACATTTTGATTTCCGTTTTATAAAACACAGAAGGGCACAAAAGAAACAAGTGCCATGATCAGGTACAGACTTTGACATTATTATTCTTCCAATATTTTTCCATGTTTATATAATTTCTTGGAAGAAAATGAAAAAAAATCACATACATTTGGTTTAATCTCACTTACATGTTTTCAAGTCATTAATAATCTTCCACAGCCATGCTGTCCAGTGAGTAACCAGTAGCTACAAATGGCTAATTAACGAAATTCAGATAAGATTTAACAAGCAGATTCTTGGTCACATTGGTCCTTAGAGCCTTCCACCCAGGACCATACAGTTTGCACAGTTTCCGGTTCCTCACCAGGCATATTCTATTAGACCAGAGTTCTACAACAAGCTATACTATTTGCTGTGAACTCGCCTCAGCACCCAGCTGTTTTACTACCATCACTAAAACCACAGTGCCATCCTGTGGTCTGAAAGGACAATCTTGATGGAAACCCTATGGTTCCCTGCTGGTGTTGGGGTTCTGGCAGCTTTGTGGGTCTCAGGGCTGGGCTAGGTCTGCAGAGATCCAGCAGTCCAGGACCGATTACTGCCTGGCACCGTACAGAGCCACTGTATGACCCAGCATGCTTACTCCTAGGTTTGTTCCCCAAGCAATGGAAAACTGGTGGCCAAGTAAATACACAGCAGTGTTCACAGCTGCACTAGTCACAGCGGCTGAAAGACAGAAGCACCAACTGATGAATAGACACCCAACTGAAATGCCCACCAGCTGATGAATAGACAAAAGGCTTTCTGCCCGTACAGCAGAATATTACTCAGCCATAACAAAGGAGAGAAGAAACATCAATTTCTGCTACAACCTGGAGGATTCTCATGAACATTAAGCTCAGTGAAGATCCCAGACACCAAAGGTCACATACTGTTCAGTCCCATTTACAGGAAACATCTGGAAAAGAAAATCTAATGGCTTCCTGTGCTAAAGGGAGGTGGCAAAGAGAAGTGAGCACTTAATGGCACAGGATGCCTTTGGGACTAAGCAGTGGGCTGGAATTAACTAGAGGCAACACTGCATATTGTAGGTCACTGAACCATGCCCTTTGTAATTGTCTCAGAGCAGGGGCAAGGAGATGGAACTAAAGGTGTGCGCCTGAAATCCCAACACTGGGGACAATGGCACAGGAGGACTACAAGTTCTGAGACTGGTTTGGACTTCATAGCAGGACTCTGTCAATAAAAGGATTAACATACTCAGAGATAACAAATTCCTGCTTTCCCTCAGTGAGTCCTCCTCTCCCATTTTTATTTTTTGTGGCTCTGACTGGGACAAAGCACTGACTACGGGTGTTAAAGGTGAGGTAGAAGACCTACTTCCTCACATAGGTAACCACTAGGGGGGACAGGCGATGAGGGCTGTAGAAGAATGAGTATATACAGAGGTAGGTGTGTGCATTAGCTGTTTGTGTTCCGGGTCTGCAGAGCAGCATCAGGGTGCATATACAGGTAACTACTGTAGAAAAGCACACGAGGGCCTGCACTGTCTTACTGGACACCTCACAAACCTGTGCGGTGCCCTTCGGCGGCAGTACTCACGGGCCGGTCATCATCTCTACGGGTCGATCACAGGAGATGCACTTCACCCGCTCAAACAGCTTCCTGGAGGACAAAGAGGTCAGTGGTCAGGGGTTAACAAAGAACCCAGGGCTGGGGTTGGGATGAATTTAAGGTCCCCCGAGCCCTTTTGTCCAGGCCTGTGGCCCTGTGGTAGAGCGCTGTTGTTTCCCACCTGCTGCAGGCTCAGGGCTAGTGATCACATCAGTTCCTCTACTAGGAAATAAGAAAAAAACAAAACAAAACAAAACAAAAAACTCCCTTGAAGGAAGGAAGTATGTGGAACCTGATGGCAAGCCTGACTGCCTGGGGACAGGAACCACTGGCCCTGACTCAGTCTCCAGATAGGCATGCCAATTGTGTGGGTTTATCCTGGTTTCCCTTTCCCCAGAGTCTCAGTTTCCTCATTTGAAGAGAAGACTGGAAGCACTCTGCTGCACCCTGCCCTCCCTGCCCTCGTCCCCGCGGCCGAGGTCTGGAATTCTAGGCACCCACCCCTCTGTTAGCAGCAGCTCCACCCTCGTGTGCTCACTTCTTAAAGCCTGCAGCACTGTCGGGGTCGAATCGCAGGCCTTCCAACAGAAGCTTCCGGACCACCATCCAGACCTCCTCTATGTCCTTCTTCAGGTTGTTCAGATCACTGTGGACTAGCTGCCGGTCAGAGGGAAGAACGACGTAAGTCAGTTAGCTCACCCGACAACCTACGGACTCACACAGAGAATCAGATAAAACAAAGACAGCAACGGACTCCGGAAAGGAAGACCATTTAGCTCATGCCTTTGTGGGTGCTGTTGGCACAGGGGGGTTGCAAAGCCAGGAGCAGTGGTGCACACCTGGAATCCCAGCACTCGGGGAGGCAGAGGCAGGCAGATCGATGTTAGTTTGAGACCAGCCTGTTCTACAAAGCAAGTCCAGGACAGCCAAGGCTACACAGATAAACCTTGTCTCAAAAACAAACAAACAAAACAAATAGAGATGCTTCCAAACCTACTGTTCTGCTCAACTGCAGAGCTGGAGGCTGGAAAACTATCCAGTGAACCCCATGCCCTGACTTTTACACATCTGACAAATATTTATGGAGGGTTTGCATGTAACGTGGATAGTTGCTTTAATATGCTTACAAAGTATGGAAACATCACAATCTATTATTATTATGAAACAGGCTCTCTCCAGAGCAATGGCTGTCTTTCATAGACCCACCTGCCTCTGTCTACCAAGGGCTGGGATTGAAGGCGTGTACCACCACATCTGGCTAATTAATTGATTAATTTTTGTTTTTGTTTGTTTTTTTAATTTTTGGTTTTATAAGACAGGATTTTTCTTCTGTGTAATAGCTCTAGCTGTCCTGGACTCACTTTGTAGACCAAGCTGGAATCAAACTCATGAAGATCTGCCTGCCTCTGCCTCCCAAATGTTGGGATTAAAGGCATGTGCCTCCACACGTGGCTATTTTTCTTTTCCTTTTGTCTTTTTTTTTTTTTATTTTTTTTAGCTTTTTATTGATTCTTTGTAAATGTTACATCATGTGCCCAATCCCAATAATTTCTCCTTTCCCTCATGTCCACCCTTTGACCTTGCAACTTCCAGGCAGGTTAGATTGTACGGGGGCCAGAAGCTCTCAGGCTGTGCCTAGGTTAGCAGGTGGAGGCAGCAAGCCTTCAAGACAACAGTTGAAACAGACAAACAAAAGTTACTTTTACACTGGACTTAACTTGTGATTCTCCTGATTGCTGGGATTACAGGCCTAGAGCACCCCATCCTTCTTATATGATAATTCCTATTTGGGAGATATTGCCAGTCCAAGTTTAGAATCAGCCCCACTGAAGGAATAGAAACACAGGCCAGCTGTTGTGTGGAATGCTATGGGTTGTAACTTTGCATTGATTTCTCAGCCCTGTTTACATTCCCCAGGTGTGGCACACTGAGTGACAAACGATCCTTTCTTCAGAAAGCCTCCTCCACTCCCAACCTCTTAGTTTGCTTGCACTGAAAGAATCAGACCTAACTTTGTAACCTATATCTTTTAATTGCCTTATAACTTATATTTTCAAGTTTTAGGCCCATGTTAATTAAAGCCTCTTAGTGCTTCTCCAGAGAACCAAGGAATGTAAAAGTTCCTGACATTAGCCATCTGCGAGAGCAGAGATAAGGAAGAGAACAAGCAGAAATCTCTACTAAGTGGAGAGAAAATCACCGGCCAGCGCCTATGAGATAAACTTTGTTTGGAAACTGGGCCAAATGGCCCCAATCCTTCTCCTGAGTAGCTCCTGACCTTTGATCCAAAGCCTGTAGCCCCCACTACTCAGAACAGACACGGAATGAGTTAATCACTCTCCCACCTTTAACTGTGGCTATATCTCATATGGCAGGAAATTCCAAACTGACTTGAAGATCAGATATTTATGACAGGGCTGACCGGACCTAAGGGTGCCCAGAACCAACCAATTATTTTAAAAGTTAAATACCTCATCCAATCCTGAATTGCCAAGATGGTAACCTCTGAAAATTCCCACACTTTGTCCTTTAAAAACCCAAGGCCTTTGTCTCCCAGTACTACTCCTTGCTGAACAGCAGGGGTGACCCCATTGCACAATGGTCAAAATAAACCTCTTGTGATTTTGCATTGAAACCTGTCTCCTGAGTTCTCTTCATCCTCTCTCAAAATTAGGCTCGTGCTGGGAATAACAGCACCTCCCCAAGAGTTCTGGAGGTCAGCCTCCACCATGGCTCCAGATATGGCTGGAACTCATACCACTGGAGCCATTCCCTCTTGCATTGAATAGGGCCACCTTGTATAACCAACAGGGTAATGCAGAAATGATGGGAGTGGCTCCAACAGTTGTGTAACAAAAAACATTGCACATTCTTCTCATTGTCTCAGGTCACTTAGTGTGTGTGTGTGTGTGTGTGTGTGTGTGTGTGTGTGTGTGTGTGTCTACCATGTTATGAGACCCTTTAATAAGTCCTAAGAAGGAATCATTATATGAGAAACTGAAGTATTTTGCCAATAGTTACAGGAGGGTCCAATTTTGAAGTGGCTTCATATAGCTCATTCAGATAATACAGCCTGAGGAGCTGGAGAGATGGCTCAACAGTGAAAGGCACTGACTGATCTTCCAGAGGACCCAGGTTCAAGTCCTAGAACCCACATGGCAGCTCACAACTGTCTGTAACTCCAAGATCTGACACTCTGACATAGATATATGTGCAGATAAAACACTAATGCAGACAATACAGCCTGGAATTACATGTTCACTCTGACCTTGTGAGTCACAGGTCCTGAACCACCCAGGTAAGCTACTTCCAAATTCCCGATCTTCAAAACTATCAGTATTTGCTCTTTGAGACTGCTAAACTCTAGGGCTATTTGTTATGTAGCAAGTGCTACCTCATACAGACTCACCTTAGTATTTAAGTCCCTCCTGAGATGTTTCAGAGACTTCTTCCAGTCATCCTCCTGGCTTGTGATCTTCAAGAGCATACTCTGAACCAGTCCATTCAGCTCCAGTGCCACCATCTCCAGGTCTGACCGGTTTGCCTTGCTTGCCAAGTTATCCTTGTCAGCTTTCTAGGTAGAAGGGGTCCAGGGCAGTAAGACTGCTACGGTAAGAGACCTTTGATCCCTGTGGTCAGTTTTTCTAGTAGAAGGTCATGACTGTGTAGCCTTGGCTTAAGTTCAGTGTTGGTGTCTACACTGGCTCAAACATAGCTGTGGGATCTGACCCAAGCAGGACAGTTGACAATGTGGTTTTCATTTTGTTTATTTATTTTTTGAATTTATTTTTATTTTATGTACATTGCTGTTTTGACTGCATGAATGTCTGTGTGAGGGTGACAGATCCCCTGCAACTGGAGCTACAGACAATTGTGAGCTGTCATGTGGGTGCTGGGAATTGAACACTGGTCCTCTGGAAGAGTAGCCAGTGCTCTTAACCTCTGAGCCATCTCTCTAGTCCCTTTATGTTTATTTTTTAAGAGAGAGTCTCATGTATACCACAGTGGCCTTGCATGCCGTAGTCAAGGATGACCTCAAATTTCTGATTCTTCTGCTTCCAGTGGTGGGAGTATGGGTGTATGCCACTATGCACAGTTCATATTGAACCCACATCCCCAGCCTGATGCCTGATTTTTTTTTTAATTTTTTTTTTTTGAGACAGGATCTCAGGTAACTCTGGCTGGCCTGGAATTCACTATGTAGACCAGGTTGGCCTACAACTCAGAAACCTGTCTGCCTCTGACTCCTGAGTTCTGGGACTTCAGGCATGAGCCACCACACCTGACCTGATGCCTGATTTTTAAAATAATAGTGTCACTATTAATAATAGTGACTATTAAATAATAAATAGCCTCCAGTCATGGAAAAGGGGAGTGGTTGTGTACTTTTGAGGCCTTCCGGATTTCCTGAATGAAGTCAGCAGAGGGAATGCTAGCTGCTGCCTTCACCTAGGTGATTCTATTGCCCTGGTTGGCAAATCAGAGACTTTAGGATTAACGTGGAGGAAAGCAGGGGCTTCTCTGTTTACTCACTTCTTTCAGCTCGTCATACAGCATGCTTTTATCTGCCTTAGTCAGATCCAGCCTTTCCATGTCAGTCTTGAAGTTCTAAGAACAGAACATAGGCAGGTCAGCCTTTGTCATGGCCTTGAGGGAAACATCTGCTTTCTGCTTCCAACTTTGCTGTGTGTTAGGAAGGGGATGGAGGCCAGGTGGAGAAGCAGCAGGTGAGAGTGTTAGAAGGCTCGAACTGACAGGTGGCAGGAACAGAAGAGGAACACCATGAGACTAGAGACAAGCTAGTCCTTGGAGATGCTGTCACCAGAGGCCAACCCAAGGAAGCACAAACCAGTGCTGGTGACTCGGTTAATTTTATCTGTCAGTAGGTCCCAGTGTGCCCTCCTATAGGCAGAACCACACACCATAGTCGCAGGCCACATAGCAAGCTAAGCATTAGGGGGAAATCCCCACTTCCCATCTTGGAATTTCATGAAAATCCCCTATTAGTGTTGGCCTGTCTCCTCTTAATATATTTCACCCATGACAGGAGCAGTAGCTCCTGATGGAGGAACATAACTAGAGTGAGCTGCCATGTTTGTTCCATGTCCCAAAGAAATGCTGTGACCTGGGGGCACTTAAAGAGAATGATAGATTTTTCTTTCTTTCTCTTTCTTTCTTTCTTTTCTTTCTTTCTTTCTTTCTTTCTTTCTTTCTTTCTTTCTTTCTTTCTTGTTTATAAATGCAGGTTTATTGGAAGCAGCTCTCAATTGACTTGTCCCCAGAAGCTAGGGTCACTTTTTCTTGCCAAGCCACACACTGTCTTCTTCTCTCATCACTTCTGGTCTCCCTCAACCACAAGCAAAAGTCCCAGCTTCGATGCCTGGATCAGGATTGCAGTCTACAGCCGGCCTTGCCTTTATGCCTACTGGGATGTAAACGGAGGCCAGTGGGTGTGGTTGGCCTTCTTTATCCTCTGTCTCTGTTTCCAAGAAGTGCTAAGGATGGAACTTAGGGTTCTGTGGGTGCTAGGCAAGCACTTGGCACCCCACACAGCCAGCTTCCATCCTCTACCCTCTTTGCCGCTGTTTTGAAAACAGAGTTAATGATTGGAGTCCCAGCAGCCATGATGGTCCGTGAGGTAATGTGAATGGCGATCACAAAGAAGAACTAGAAAAGTGGAGCTTATGTCTACAACACTGAGAAGCAACCTGCTGGCTCTAGAGCAATCACTTGAATTGTTGGATGTGAAGGATAAATACATTTATACCTGATGTCAGTTACCTGGGGATTCTTACATTATTTGAAGTTAAACTCAACTGTGACTAACGTAAAGTAATCACCACATCCATCTTGTTGTCCCCATGGGGTTTCCAAGGTCACCAAAAAGAGATGGCTGTGGGGGAAAAGTTCCTACTTGGCCTCTCATTTAGTGGCCTTCTCTGGCCCAGTGCTTGTCTGCTTCCCTAAAATGCATGAGGCCCTGGGTTCCATCCTCAACCCCGAGGGAGAGGGAGAGTTGGTTCAGGGAAAATGCCATGAATATAACTGTTGTTGCAAGAAATCCTTTATTCATTCACCGATGCCTTTGGCAAATGTTACTATGCCTTAAATCTGTCCTTCTATTCTCATGTTGGTGACTGGTGACACAAAGACTCTCAAGAATGTCCAGTCCCTTTATGTGTATAGAATTTTTTTTGAAGATTTATGTATATAAATGTTCTACCTGCATATATGTATGAGTACCACATACATGCATGGCACTCATGGAATCCAGAAGAAAGCATTAAATCCTCTAGAACTGGAGTTACAAGTGTTTGCTTGGTTTTTTGTTTGTTTGTTTGTTTGTTTGTTTGTTTTCTGGACAGGTTTGTGTGTGTGTGTGTATGTGTGTGTAGTCCTGGCTGTTCTGGAATTCGCTCTGTAGACCAAGCTGGCCTCAAACTCATAGAATTCTGCCTCCGAGTGCTGGGATTAAAAGTGTGTGCCACCACCACCTGGCTTTGGAGTTACTGTTTTAAGCTACCATGTGGATGCTGGGAATGAAAACCAGGTTCTCTGCAAAGGCTGCCAATACTCAACTCTTTCCAGCCCCTGGGACTTTTTTTTAACTGAAGTGTAATTTATACAGAGTAAAATGTTGTCTGGTTCCCTTGCATTTTGTGGAGCCTTCTGTAAAGCCTCTGGGGAGGGTCTCATGGTCTCTCCTGCACCCCCCTCTTGGTCTTCAGGCCCCCGAACCTTTAAGTTATCCACTGAAAGCTGGAGACTCTCCACCATCCTGTCCAGCACCATGTGGTGATTCTTCATGGACTCAATCTGGTGACCCCAAATTCTCTCAAGTTCTTCTTCCTGAATAGGAGAGACAGTGACATCCAAGGCCTCTGCTTCTGATGTTGCCACAAGTGAAAGGGTCCTGAGACCAGGAAGTGATGCCATTAAGTACTTATTGACAGGGACAACAGAGCCAACTACCCATGGACTATATTCTAGCTGGGTTAACTCTGTGTGGATGCTGCTGATGTGCTGCCCCGCTCACTTCCCAAAGCTTCACTGAGTGTGGCAGCCAGGAGGCTGGACCCTAACTCAAGCCAAGTCATCACCTTCTCAGAAGCCCCTCAGTGACTGTGACACTGACCTGTAGCCTGGCCTTCTGTAGGCCGATAATCTTGTCTTCCAGCACACTCACTGTGCTACCAAGCTTGCCAAAGCTTCCCATGTTGGCTGAAGATAAAAAGAGGAGCAACTGTTAAAAGGAATGATGGAGGGACATGACTGGAGAGAGCTGCCATGTTTGTCCAAAAGAAATGCTGTGATCTGAGCTACTTAAAGAGAATGACAGGTTTTCTTTCTTCTTCTTTCTTTCTTTCTTTCTTTCTTTCTTTCTTTCTTTCTTTCTTTCTTTCTTTCTAAGTATATAAACGCAGGTTTATTGGAAGCAGCTCTAGACTGCCATGCAGGGGTAGGGGAGGGAGAGAGAGAAGCACATGCAAAGAGAGAGAGGAAAGGAGAAGAGGAGGAGAGATACAGAATGAGAGAGAAGAGAGCAAGAGAAGACAGCAAGAATGGTGGATTTTCTAATACATTTTTTAAGAAACGCACAAAAGACTTTTTGTCATGGTGGTGCACACCTTTAATCCCAGTAGTGAGAGGAAAAGGAAGGTGGATCTCTGAGTTTGAGGCTAGCCTGATCTACAGAGTTAAGTTCCAGGACTACACAGAGACACCTGTCCTGAAATACCAAACAATAACAACAACAACCTAAGCAAAAAAAAAAAAAAAAAAAAATGAGGCTAGTGATGATCTGAGCATCTGCTACCCTCCCCCCAGGTTGGCCAGGCCTACCTAAGTAATTCAAGCGCTGGTTCACGCTGTTTGACATCTGGACAAACTCCTCCTTCAGGGAGTCGTGTTTGACAGGCATCTGGGCTATGTAGCTCATGGAGTACTGGACAGCCCTTTTCTTCTCTTCAGGACTTACAGCCTGCTTGGCCCTCAACATGGCCTGGGACAAGGATGATTTGGATGTGCTGTGGGGAAAGACTCCTGCAAACCCCTCAAGAAAGTCCTCCAGCTCGTCCTCATTGAAGGGTATGACGCTGGCGGCCCCATAGCTAGTTCCTGCACTCAGGAGGTCTGCGATGGTCCCTAAAGGCCCTGATGCTGCCTCGTGTACTGCTTTGACAGACATTTTGCTTTCGGGAACATCCTTGATTGACTTGGCAGCAGCTTTGGCTGCCTGGACTGCTGTGTTTGCTGCAGCTGCGGCAAGAGCGGACCTGAGTTTATTTACATTAGATGAAGGGCTCTTAGGTCGTTCTTCTGGGGTTTTGTCCTTCTGGGCTTTATATTTGTAGAGCATGTCTTTGAGGGCTCTGGCTTTGGGAGCCTCATCTTTGGTGACTCTGTCTTGGGGAGTCCCATCCCTAGAGGCTCCATGTTGGGGAGCTTTATCAGTGGGGGCTCTATGTTGGGGAGTTTTATCCTTGGGAATCCCAACCCAGGGAGCCCCTTCCTTGGAAGTCCCATCCCTGGGAGCCCTTTCCTTGGGAATCCAACCCCAGGAAGCCACTTCCTTGGGAATCCCATCCTGGGGAGCCCCCTCCTTGGGAATCCCATCCCGGGGAGCCCCTTCCTTGGGAATCCCATCTCGGGGAGCCCCTTCCTTGGCAATCCCATCCAGGGGAGCCCCTTCCTTGGGAATTCCATCCCGGGGAGCCACTTCCTTGGCAATCCCACCCTGGGGAGACCCTTCTTTGGAAATCCCAGTCTGGGAAGCCCCTTCCTTGGGAATCCCAGTCTGGGAAGGCCCTTCCCTGGGACTCCTATCCCGGGGAGACATACCTTCCTTGGAAATTGCAACCCGGAGAGCCCCTTCCCTGGGACTCTTTTCCTGGGGAGCCCCTTCTTTGGCAATCCCAGTCCGGGAAGACCCTTCTTTGGCAATCCCATCCCAGGAAGCCCCTTCCTTGGCAATCCCAGCCCTGGGAGACCCTTCCTTGGAAATCCCAACCCGAAGAGCTCCTTCCTTGGCAATCCCAGTTCGGGAAGACCCTTTCTTGGGGCTCTCATCCCGGGCAGCCCCTTCCTTGGAAATCCCAGTTCGGGAAGCCCCTTTCTTGGGACTCCCATCCCGGGCAGCTCCTTCCTTGGCAATCCCAGTTCGAGAAGCCCCTTTCTTGGGGCTCTCATCCCGGGGAGCCCCTTCCTTGGAAATCCCAGTTCGGGAAGCCCCTTTCTTGGGGCTCTCATCCCGAGGAGCCCCCTCCTTGGAAATCCCAGTTCGGGAAGCCCCTTTCTTGGGGCTCTCATCCCGGGGAGCACCTTCCTTGGGAATCCCATCCCGGGGAGCTCCTTCCTTGGCAATCCCAGTTCGGGAAGCCCCTTTCTTGGGGCTCTCATCCCGGGGAGCCCCTTCCTTGGCAATCCCATCCCGGGGAGCCCTTTCCTTGGAAATCCCATCCCGGGGAGCCTCTTCCTTGGGACTCCCATCCCGGGGAGCCCCTTCCTTGGCAATCCCATCCCGGGGAGCCCTTTCCTTGGAAATCCCATCCCGGGGAGCTTCTTCTTTGGGACTCCCATCCCGAGGAGCCCCTTGCTTGGAACTTTCATCCCGGGGAGATCCTTCCTTGGGACTCCCATCCCGGGGAGACCCTTCCTTGGGACTCCTATCCCGGGGAGCCCTTT